CCTGTGTTTCAAATGGAGCTCATTGACCTGCAATGCAACTCTGACCTCAAAGCCAAGTTCAGGGAGATGAGTGGAAAAGCAGACAAGCATGGGCAATTTTTGAGAGAATTGCCCCCCCAACATCCCTGAGCTGAACTTCAATAAGTCCAAGTACAGGTCTTAGACTTACTGATGATCATCTTCAAGCCATACTGAGGGTCTCAACTGCTTCCTCTCTCAAGCCAAATGTGGTTCAGATTTGTGAAAAGAAGCGCTGTCAAGTATCTGGCAGCAAGGAGTAGGCAAGAGGAGCCATGTTCAGAAGAACCGTTCATGATTTTCACTCAATGTTCCTTTCATGTTCAAAACACTCCATGTTCAGAAGAAATCATTAAAACTGTTAACATTTGAGGACTTTTTTTTTTAAACTTTATTGTGGAATCCCTTATGCGGCCCACCCTCACCCAGACTCTGCCTCCAGCGGCCCCCAGGTAAATTGAGTTTGAGACCCCTGCCTTATAGTCTTATTTTATGTTGAACGTGGAAGAATGGAGATAATGTATCAATAAATGTTACATATTTTCAATGTGTGTGTTTTTAACCTAAACTGTAGCAACCTTTAGATTACCGGTATGTTTTGTACTATAGATTTTCTGTTTGTTTTTTGTGGGGGTAAAGGCGAGATACGTGTATGGTTCTTGGTTTAAAAAAAGAAAAAAAGAAAAATATTGCTGCTGTCCCACATTGACCCACTCAAATCTGCTACTTGTCCCATATTTTGTGGGACAAGTAGCTACTCCCAAGCCGTTCGCTGATAAGAGTCGAAAATGCACAAAGTTTACGAGCTTCGAATCCGCCCTCTTTCTCTGCCGTACCTGCCGTATTATTTCTGATTATGACTCGACTTCCGCTAGGTTTAGAAATAAACAAGTATTTCCATTCACACAAAAGATGATATTCAATTATATTGAAATGAGTGGAATAACGATTGTAAGACGAGTGTCTGCTGTTGTATGTCCCAGAACGCATTATTATTACATTGTTTGTCAAGTCTGTATTAAACAAGTAGCTCTCTGTATTACTAAGTGTCCTTGAAGTAGCTCTCAGTTTCAAAAACGTTAGTGACCTCTGGATTATACTATGGCAGACCCAGTAGATGTGGACAGTACTCTTCACGTAGGAAGAGTAACGTAGTCGGTCAAGCTTCAACTTGTACAGTATGTGAAGCTGTTTCTGCCGTTAAAGTGACCTCCACTACAGAAACATGGCTGTCCCATGACTTCAATATCAGAAAATAAGAATCAGCGACAGACACTAGGAATAAACCGATTTAACTGTTGTTAAAATTAAAAAAAGTTCGATCTTACCTTATGACTCTGGATACATGTCAGCTTTCAAATAAATGTAACTCGGCCGTTTGGTGACTTGACAGTCACTTACAGTTAGTGTTTCCGATATGAACAACACGTGGTGGTGCGAGTTGTTTTGTTGAAGGCACCGGAAATATAACGGACAGGGTGTAGGCTAAGCTTCTTCCGGATGTCAGCCAGCTTTGTTAAGGCTGCGCCAGCTGTTTTAATAGTATTAATAACACATGTCGGGTATTGCTGCTGCGGATTTAGCTTCGTGAGTGATTCAGCGCTGCTGCAATGGACTTTTTGCTGTGGCGGAGAAAAGGAAAAAAAAAAGGAGTTCTGCTGACGAGCGAAGACAGCGAAGGAGATGCTTCCTGTGTTTGAGAAATCCGTAGCCAAATTCGGAAACATGGTGGAGAGATCAGAACGAAGGGTCTGCGATCAGATGAGGCTGCTCGATGCCGAGCTGAATCCCAAAGTCGAGTTGCTGAAAACAGGTCAGTCCTAATGTACAAGAGGAGGAAACAAAGCAATGAGCTAATCTGCTATTTGCTAGCAAATGTGCCGTAGACATTGCGTAGTTTCGTTACGGATCTTGAGAGTTCACGGCGACGACTTCGACCACCCTCGATGCATTTTGTGATGTTTTTTTTTTATTTTTATGAATTGTTCTTACTGGTGTATACAAATAAAATACACAAACAACTATTGAAGTTTTTGCTCATTATTTGTAAAAAAGAAAAGGAAAGAACTGCAGATTTGACATTTAGATGTCTTTATTTGTTTTAAACAGAATAAACACAAATATATATAAGATACATAAAGATTAAAAAAAAATCTCCCAAAAGCTGGTATTTCTGTCAATGTGGATAAAGTGTGAGATACTGTATGAAACCCCAGGTTATTGTAAATTTTTTTAAAAAAAAGTATATCATTTAATAACTTCCTTAAATTCAGGATGTCAGTATCCAGGTTTTCTTTTTACTTTTTCTAAAATTTCTACAGTTTTTTGTATGAAACCCCAGGTTATTGTAAAAAAAATTTTAAAAAGTATATCATTTAATAACTTCCTTAAATTCAGGATGTCAGTATCCAGGTTTTCTTTTTACTTTTTCTAAAATTTCTACAGTTTTGTAACAGAGAATATATATCCTCAAATATATATTTTTATTGGGGCAGTAGTGGCTTCGTGGTTAAGAAAGCGGAATTGGATCAAAAATAAGATGCTTGTCTTTTCGCCACTCGCTCACTTTGCTCTGTGCTGTTATACGTATAGGACGTTGCTGTAAAGTTTGTGCTCTTGTGTTTGGTGAAAGTTTACCCTAATTTAACGCCCTACGATGCCTCCTAGATGCTCTGATCATCTTCTCAGGCTTCTGTTACGAAACCCAAACGAGGACGCTGACACCGATGACCGTTAACAACCCTTATTTTTCTTTACAATAATGTTCGCTCCTGCGCTGTGCCCGGCTTTTATATATACGGTACGTCCGTCTTGGCCAGTATACACTCCTTTGTTCACTCTCCTCTCTCCTCGGTCCCGGCTCCTACTAATATAAGGAGAGGCTTGATTACTCCAATTGCGCTTACATGCGGCCGGGGCTGCACCTGCGTCGCCACTTCCGTGCTTTCCTTCCTGCCACTGACCGCTAACTTTTGCGCGCCCCCACAATGTTTTTCATGGTGATGTATTTAATTTACATAATATGTAAATTAAATACATCACCTATACATAATATGTATGTCTTATATTTCCATTACACAACTCTACTATGCATATAATTGTGTGGGAATACACAGTCTGGGTGGGTGTTGATAACATTGTGCAGGAGGGTTCGTAAAGGGTAAATATATATACGTAAATAATATAATAACTATCTCGCCTCTCCTTCATGGATTTTCCCTTTTCATGGTCGGTCTTGGAACGCAACTCCCGCGATAGGAGAGGGATCGCTATAGTTCACTTTCTTTTCCTTTGAATTTTCACCCAGATTTAGGGTACAGGTGTAAAAATGTTGACGGGAAGTTTATAAAATGCACATTGCTTGAACAGTATGATCCTGTACTTTTACAGTAAAAAGAAAAATAAACCCAAACAAAGACTAACCCCCCCCCTGTCCTCCTTGGCCAGACTTGTGAAGAAAGCAGGACAAATAAACCAATGGTGCATAGTTCCTGGAGTGATGCAGGTAACAGCTGGAAGTCTAGGTTTTTTTTGTTTTTTTTTCTATAAAGTTTTTCTTCTCTGTCCTACAGACAACCAGCAGTGTTGGGTAGTTAAAGAAGAGGCTTCTCCTTTGGCAATAGAGTGGAAGCTTGGTGTGCACCAGGATATGCAAGAGCAGCTCCGCATTAAGGAGGAAAGGGAGGAAGTGTCTGTCACCAAGGAGGAAAGCGAAGTCACTGTTCTAATGGTGAAGAGTGAAGAAGATGAATTGAAACCTGGGACGTCACAGTTTTGTTCTCCGCGGAACATGGGCCTACGTGCAGATTTTGGACCAGTTAGTGACGACGAGACTGAGGACGGTAAAGAAACGTCGGCGACTGAAGACAGTGAAGATGACTGGAAGGAGATCAATGAAGCACCAACTTTAACGAGAATAAAGAGTGTCAGCAGTGACTCAAGCAGCGAGAAACTAAGTTGTTCTGAATGTGGAAAGACATTTGCCTGTAAGTCGTATCTATTTAGGCACAAGGTTTCTCATTTTGAGGGGAAACCATTTAGTTGCACTGTTTGTGGAAAAGGCTTTCTCACAAAGACCTGTCGAGGCAGACATGAGAAAATTCACACTCAGGAGACTCAGTTTGTGTGCACCAAGTGTGGGAAACAATTCATCCACAAGCATAGTCTGATGAGGCATGAGAAAATTCATACTGGGGAGAAACCATTCAGTTGTTTTGAATGTGGTAAACGATTTAACGTTAAAGGAAATCTGAGGAAACACGAAAAAACTCACTCAAGTGAAAAACCCCACAGCTGTTCTTTTTGCGGAAAAGAATTCAGTGATAAGCCCTATCTGAAGTTGCATGAAAAAATTCACACAGGAGAGAAACGGTTCAGCTGCTCTGAATGTGGGAAAAAATTTACTCAGTGGGGCCATCTTAGAGCACATGAGAAAAGTCACCTGGGACAAAGACTATTTAATTGTTCACTTTGTGGAAAACGATTTATGCAGAAGAGCAGTTTGAAATCCCATGAGAACATCCATTCAGGAGAGAGACCATTTGGTTGCTCAATTTGTGGTAAAAGGTTTGTCCAGAAGAGTGGTCTGAAGTCTCATGAGAAAATTCATTCAGGAGAGAAACCTTTTAGTTGTGCCAAGTGCGGGAAAAGTTTTGTTCAGAAAATCCATCTCAGGTCTCACGAAAAATTCATTCTGGAGAGAAACCATTCGGTTGCTCTGAGTGCGGAAAGAGGTTTATTCAGAAAAGTCATATGACATCACACCTAAAGACTCATGTTGGAAATGTTTCTTCAGAGACTCACCACAGTCAGAATAAGGGCAGTGTTCAGGACCGGAACAAATGTGTTAACGGTGCTGGTTCTGGGTTAATAAAAATGCTAGTTGATGAACCGTTCGAGAAGGAAACCTTAGATAAACTGGTTTATTAGTCAGTGATGAATTAAATAAATAGTGTTTTCAAATTCATACTTCTGCTTTATATTCATACAGAAAAGACAACTGTCTACATACTGATATTTATTCTGCTTTCTCAAAAACAGTTTAAACCTTTACACCTCTGTATTAAAGTTGTATCTGTTTATGTTGGTTTTTTTTTTGTGTAAACATCTGGTGATACACCTTTTCATTATCACCAATAATCCAATCTGTTACCAAATATGTTGTTCCAATATTAACACTGTAAATGAACCTTATATTCAACTAAATTCAAATGTATTCAGCAGGGCTTGCAAAAATTATGAACAATTCCAAAATGGACAATTACAGTGGGAATAACAAATGTTTGGTCCCCTGCTGAATTTGTTAAATTACTCACCTACAAAGACATTAACAGACTATAATTGTTGGTGGTTGTTAATTGATTATGGCAACAGACAGAATGTCAATTGAAGATGTATAAAAAAAACCCCAATGTTGTAAGTAAGAAAACGTTCTGCATTTTATAGAGTTATATAAGTATTTGATTCCCAGGCAAAACATGAAAAACAAACAAAAAAACAAGATACCAAAATATAACAAAATAACAAAATAATCAAGATCACCAGACATCTTATTTTATAATCTCACAAGTAGCTACACATTTTTTTCTAAATGTTGTGATAATTTTGCATGGTATGTTTCAGATTTATTCAATTGAAAATGTAAATGTGAAAATATGAATTTTCCCCATGTACCACTAGAGGGCGCTACCACCAGTGGTACGCGCAACACAGTTTGAGAACCACTGGTGTAGAGCATTGTTTCCCAAAGACAGTGAATGTTAATTTTCTTTGGTCATATTTATGAATGTTGAACCAATTGGATTGATTAGTTCATGGTTTTTTTGGTAATTCATTACAATCATGATGACGTGATAAGTTACCTTAATTAATCTTAACGTCATCATCATCACGGTTTAGCAAAACTACAGGCAGCAAAACTGTCCTCCATTAGAGGACAGCGTTTCATCTTCCAGTTGTTGTTGTTTATTGTCATTAATTAAAATATGTATTTTCCCAGTTCGGCATCTATCACTGCATCTATGATGTTGATATGAATCTAAGAAAAAGATGTTGAATCTGTAATTAATTGAATTACATTACTCGTGTTACTAGACTAGCCCTATCTCTAACATGTATTTCCCTTCCATCTTCCAGGCACTTGTTTTTTTTTCTTTTCTTTCTTTTTTTTAAAGTCGAACAAATCATCAACTACCATTTCCCTTTGGGATTCTATAGACACTGCGTTAGTGTAGTGACGTCATTAAGGTCCACCAGATGGACTTTTTCCATGCGCACTAAAATCCCTTTTCGTGTGGAAAATGTAAGGATTTCATTTTCACAAAAAGCCTTTATTCACGGATTGGCTAATGTGTATGTCTGCTTCAGAACTAACCACCGGTGAGACGTTGCTCTTATTTTGAAACCCCTGACAACAGAAGGACTACAGTTGGTTGACGCTAACTTGACCCTGCCTCTAGTTGTATTAGTTGTCGCAGTTAGCTCGACTTAAAAGCTATACGTGAAATAGATGTTGCAGCAGGAGATCCTCGGCGCTGTCACTAAAAACATTCAGCTGCGAGTAGGCAAAAGAGAGAGAAAACGGTTGCAGTTCGCGAGCTTGGAACATGAAGACAGAGTGGCAGAAGCAGAGCAGGAAGCTTAATGCTCAGCTGATGCCCGAAGTCAGGCTACACACCGCAGGTCAGTCCCTGTTCTCTCGAGACCGAGCAACAAGAGACCGCAGCAAGGCTCATGCTAGCTAAGTTAATGACAACAGCCGCTTCTGCGCGCAAACCTAGATATAGATGAGGCAAACTGTAGCCCCACGTCAACTGTACCGCCATGTTGATACGGGCAAGAGTAGAGAGCATTCCAGAAAGCTGGAATCTCGAGAACCTTTACTTCGAGTGTGCTAGGTGCGAGCCTAAACCTTTTCAGGTGAACGAAGTCCAACGTGATGGACGCCTGACCGATAAGATAACGTTTAACTATATTTGGAGAGACCTGCGTGCGTCATTTTCGCCTCTATAAATGAAACGAAGGTAAACATTGAATTAGAGGAGGCACACTAACAGTTCATACTTTATTTGCGTTATTGCTTAAACCTCTACGTCTAAATTATTTTCACATAACCAACTTAATTACCACCAAACTTTGTGTCCACATTGGTACGCAGTTTTCCATCTTATGGCAGTGTTCATTTATTACCGATAATGTCGTTGCGCGCTGCGGGTTTTAACAGTTGCGTGGTGTTGGGGAAACTGCTTTCCTCACAGACAACAGAGTGCAGTACCATGTTTTCAGCACTAACATATTAATAATTTGAACTATGAGGAGCACTGTGTTACACATCATCAAATGCTCTCTCAAAGAGAGAGAGGAGTACGAGCACAGGTGACCAAGGCCCGCCACAGTCTTGTTCGGAACCACCATAGACTTTAACCAGTGTGTGTGGTGCACCAATCAGCATCGAGCATATGTCAATATACACAATATACAGGTATATACATTTGTAAAATGCCCTGCCTCTTCATGTTGTTTCAAAGAAATTATTAATAATTTGAACTATTACTAATACTATATATTGACGTTAAAATAAACGACATTGCGTTAGGAAGAAAAACAACCCCGATAACGATTCTTGCCAATATGAATAATATTTCATATTCATTTGATATATATTATATATATATTCATAATTATGCTAATATTGGTAGGTAATATCCCTACTTAAAGTCTTTGCTTTTTCCTGCAGATGAACAGCAGCTCTTGGAGATGAAACAAGAGGTTCTTCCTGGGCAAATGGAGTGGACAACCAATGTGGACCAGGAGGAGGAACGCCCCAACATTAAAGTGGAAGAGGAGGAATTGTGCATTGAACTTGAGGAACCTGATATAATTATGGTGACGGTAAAATGTGAGGATGACAATGAGATTTCAGAGGACAATAGCCAAACAGAGGATATAGGACCAGAACAAGCCAGGAACTCAAGTCCAAATAAAGAGTTTGCACCAGTTAGTGAAGATGAAGAAATTGAAAAGTCATCCGAGACTGAAGGGAGTGATGAAGATTGGCAAGACGCGGGTAAAAATTCAGGTTCGAACATAGTGACGAAAAAGAAGGCCCGCAGTAATAGGAGATCTAGCCCTAGTAAAAAACTTAGTTGTTTTGTTTGTAGTAAAAGATTTGCCTACAAGTCCTTTCTCCTGCGACACGAAAAGACTCACTTAGGAGATAAACCATTTAGTTGCTCCGAGTGCGGGAAAGGATTTAATCAGAAGGCAAATCTGAAATCACATGAACAAACTCACACGGGAGAGAAACCATTTAAATGCACAGAATGTGGTAAAAGTTTTTCCCGAAAGTCATATCTGCGGATCCATGAGAATTTTCATTTTGGGGAAAAACCTTTCAGTTGCTCTGAATGTGGGAAAGGATTTCTCAGCAAGAATTGCCTGGAAAGACATGAAAAAATTCATACCCAAGAAAAGGAGTTTGATTGCTCTATGTGCGGTAAAAGATTCATCCACAAGTGTGACCTGAGACGACATGAAAAAATTCATACTGGAGAGAAACCATTTCGATGCTCCCAGTGTGGTAAATGTTTTACAAGCAAGTCATACTTGCTACGTCACGAGAACGCTCATTTTGGTCAGAGATTGTTTAGCTGCTCTGAGTGTGGTAAAGGTTTTCTTCAAAAGATTCATCTGACGTCACATTTAATAACCCATGTCGGCGGCATGTCTGTTCACGTTGGCTCCGAATAGTGATTTGTGATGAAACCTCATGTATGTGTTGAGTCTTGCCAGTAATTGCGTCTCAAAGGGCTGATTTCACACAGTCCTTTTTAACAGCTTATTTCGGAGTGCTGACATCTTAAAGCATATAAGCCTCTACAGTGGACGCCTGAGAATCCACTGTAGAGGCTTATATCCAACACTGCCATCAAAACCTATTCTTATCATAGAAAATGACATTTCAATAGCTGTCCACTGTAGTGACCGTCATGCGTGAAAGGGTTAAAAGCAGAGGTCACATTTCGTTGTGTGTGATGACAAATAATTCACTTTTACATAATGCAGTTTCAGACTCTGTTATAAGTTTAAGTAACATGCCAAATGTCAAACGGGCGCCATGATTAACTGAGGTCAATCTGCACAATATCAAAACTTCTAAAATAAGTTGAACCAAAAACTGTCAAATATATGAAATAATAATAAAAAACCTGTACGATTTAAATATGCATTAATTTTTTTAAAAGTGCCGTGAATCACCAGATCCTCAAATTTTCTGATGGAGCCTGAAACATCCCCGGTTATACAATATATAAATATATAGAAGTCGTTAATTAACATCAAGTTATATAATGCTATACCAATCTTATACAACTGATTCCAACACTGTTTCAGTTTATCATCATTCGAAACACTCAAAACATAATAACCTGTTCTGCAGGTTTAGTTACTTTTCAGATTGCTATTTTACAAATCCATTAACAGCATGACTTGCACCTGTTACCCATTGTGCCTTTGGGGCACGACTGCCCCCCATCAATGAAAAGCTATCAGTGAAAAACCGTACTTTCTGCCGCTCCTTGAACATTTGTTTTTCCGCATTCATGGCTGATTGGAAATTTTTTTTTATTATTATATACAAGTATATAATATAAAGATGCACCTGTTGCTGTGTGTGGCTCAGTGCAATCACAAGTGAGGGAACGCTCATCGCTAGTTGTGTGAATGAGAGTGTGGGGGGGGGGGCGCTAGTGCATGACATGAATGTGAGTGAGACGTTGCTGAAAGGCTGTGCCTGTGTGTGTGTTTTTGTTTGTTTTTTTTTGTCGATCATGCAAGAAACCACTTCAAACTAACATTTAAAGCCACAACTAGTCTCTTTTGTGGCTTGTAATAGGATGTGCCAAGTTAACTGCGTTACTCGCAGCTGAGACAGTAGCACTGCTTAGAGCTTTTTCTGTTATATTTGTTCAAGTAATAGCTGCTTTAAGTGCGCTCTTGACTTTGGTGACATTATAATGTGAATTTCAAAGACACGTTCATTTGCTATTGCAGTTGTTAACGTTTCCTATTCCTAAAAACATGTTTTTTATATTATTTTATACTATGAGAATTGTATTTTCCTTTAATATATACAGCACATACTTATCATTGAATTTTCTTTTTATTTGCATAGTAACAAATAAAATAAGATTGATGTGATTTGGAATACGTGGCCTTCCTATCTTTTGTTACTATGTCGTGGGAGAGAACATCAAAATGTTCACACAAACACTCCATCTATCTGCTCCTGACCTGCCCCCCCAGGCGGAGAAAATACATACATATATGCATAGGTAGTAGAAGATGACTGCAAAAGCTAAAAAGAAGAGAGACCAAGAGCTGTTTTCAATCCCTGCGGAATATTTCAAGGAACTGAAAGGTTTCACTCCGAGTATGGAAATTACTAGTAATTTGAAACTGGAAGATCATTATTCTTTATTACATATATTTTTTGTGACATTTTTATTTGGTGGTGCTCCATTGTTTTTTTTTAAATGTTAAATATGTACTGTGACTCAAAAAAGATTGGGAAACAATCCCGTAAGACATGCAAAGGAGTCCCCCATGGACTATGTTGTTTGCAGATGACATTGTGATCTGTAGTGAGAGTAGGCAGCAGCTAGAAGAGAACCTAGAGAGGTGGAGGTTTGCACTAGAAAGAAGAGGAATAAAAGTCAGTCGTAGCAAGACGGAGTACGTGTGTGTAAACGAAAGGGAGAACAGTGAAATAGTGAAGTTACAAGGAGCAGAGGTGGTGAAGGTGCAGGAGTTTAGGTACTTAGGATCAACTGTGCAGGGCAGAGGAGACTGTGGAAGAGAGGTGAAGAATAGAGTGCAGGCAGGATGGAACAGCTGGAGAAAAGTGTCAGGAGTGATCTGTGATAGAAGAGTGTCAGCTAAGGTGAAGGGAAAGGTTTACAGGACAGTGGTGAGACCAGCCATGATGTATGGTTTAGAGACGGTAGCAATAGGCAGAAGACAGGAGGAGGAGCTGGAGGTGGCAGAGGTAAAGATGCTAAGATTCTCTTTAGGAGTGACAAGAATAAAAGTCATACATTAGTTGATAGTGAAAAATAAAATAACAGACGCAAAGCAGTTAAGTAGAGGTTGTACCGCTGTTTCCCTTAAGGCGTTTCACCTCTCATCAAAGAGGCTTTTTCTATTCCGCAGCTCAATAGTTCCTTAATTTAAAAGAAAACACCACAGTCCTGTCATACTTCTCTGTATTTATTTGTGTCTTTCTCTGTCAGAACTATATATATAATACAGAACCAGAAATCACTTTGGATATTTACAAGATAAATAAAAGTCAACATGAGGAGGATCCACTCCTCTGATGGAATATTCCTCAGGACGTGGAGACCACCCTGACATTAGACAGAACTAGGGATGTCCAATATTAACTTTTTGCCGATATCCGATATTGTCCAAACATTCCGCGATTTCGATATCACCCGATACCGATGTGCAGCCGTTTGCTCCCAAAATCTCAGCACCCTAAAAGCAATTCCAGCATATTTGCCAAAACCCAGGCATTGCGTTATCAGGTTTTTATTATCGTAGGAAAAAAAAAAAAGGATAACGATTCGTCGAGATATTACATAATTATGCTAATATCGTGCAGATTATATTGGTTGGTCGATATTATCGGACATCCCTAGACAGAACCTCATAACTAAGTTGAGAAAATGGTCTAGTTCGTATCACAGTGACAGTAGGACATGATAAAACCAGACGAACAATCGAATTCCAGTGTTTTCTTTTGCTTTGAAGATCCACATCTATGATACCTTCCTTTTCGTCAGTGAGCATTATTGTGTCACTATTAATTGAAAAACAAAACTCAACAAACACTGTACGCAAAGGATGTTGTGTCTAAAACTGTAAAGTTTCACATTTCATATCACAATATTTATCTTGAAGCCAACTGATGTTAGCTTTTTTTTTTTTTATAAAACATTTACGGTGTTTCTTGATTCTTATGGGGTCAAAGTTGTTTTGTAACCTACTCTGCTGGGCAGCAGTGGTACTGTAGCTCGAGGCTTTACTGAGATATAGAAGAAAATGATCATTTTTGTTTTAGTCTTTGGAAGCCAATAAAGCTCAGAATCTTTCGTGTAGATAGTTTTGTTTTTCAAACAAGAAAGTACTGCAAAATGTGAAGGACATAAATCAGTATTTATTACCGTTTTCTTCAGACGTGCATGCACCTAAATGTGCACTGAATTCCAAACAAACATAAATGATGTAACAGTTCCTGTCCTTTTCCTGTCTCTTCGGTTTCTCTGTGTTTATAAAATGAACAGGCGGATGTGAGTGTCTGTCTGTGTTGGATAAGAGGAGTCACATGTGGGAAGCAGGGGTTTTTGAGCATACCCACTTACTAGGAGCTTGTGCGAGAGAAAGGCAGAAAATATTTTAAGCGCAGTGACGCTCTTTCTCCTGTAGTCGGAACAATAATGGAGTGACAGAGGCAGAGCAGAGGTAGGTCAGATGTCGCAGCTCGGTTAAATGGGCAGTTGGAAGGTGATGTCCACTTGAGCTTCTTTAGCCAGAGACACAATTTCAGACAGTTTCACCACCTGCAGAGATGAAAAATTTGATTATATGATTAAAAAGTAAAAGAAAAAAGAAAATTATGTGGAAACAGAACATTAATGCAAGATGGGAGGAAGACTTAGTGGAAAAAGTAAACAATAAAGTCCAACGAATGGAAGATGGAGGAGGAAAACAAGGAGTAATAATAAATAATGAAATTAACCCTTTCATGCATGACGGTCACTACAGTGGACAGCTATTAAAATGTAATTTTCTATGACAAGAATAGGTTTTGATGGCAGTGTTGCATATAAGCCTCTACAGTGGACGCCTGAGAATCACCCAACACTGCCATACAGTGGTCAGCCTTTGCAACTGCAGAATAATTGTGTCAACATTCAAAAAGAAAATTTGGTGTATAAAAACAGAACCAAATCAGTTCTTATTTTTATGTCTAAAAACACATAAAAACACTTAGTAACATTTTTTGGCCAACGTTTTTGGGCTAATTTCATAATTTGTTTTTTTTGCTAAAATCAAAGTGGTTTGTCTTTTTATTGTTTTTTTTTCCCCCAACACTGGCTATCGGCTTACCTCAAGCTAGATTTGTTTCACTTTGTTTCTTCATAGATTTTTTTTGTATTTTGTACAACTGTAAAGCTTTTTTCTTTTCTTTTTTCCCTCCAAATTCATAGTTGTTCTCTTTTTGGCGTACATCCATAAACAGAATTTAATTAAAACATAGGCAATAAGTGCATGCTATCTAATAACTGATGCTGGCTAATAAATTTACGAAATGCAATTAACCACAGAAAATATATAATAGTGCACCTAACTCTCTGTTAAGTGGGCCACACTTGTCAGTAAATATATATTATTTAAAAAAACATGTTTATCCATCTCAAGTGAAACCCAGTTTTATATGAAAAATAGATTATTGCAAGAGTTGTGATTCTATTTGCAATTTTTAAAAAAATATACACAAGGGATCATAAAAAAAAAATCAATCTGTAATAGTAGTAGTAGAGTAGTAATAGAAGTTTAAAATGATACCATTTTAGCAGCTTCATCCAAGTCATCACAAGCCAGAATCTTCAGGGGACTGGCTGCAATTAGAGCTTTAGCATCATCAACTCTGGTTCCTGAAGAAGAAAAGAGTCGAATGATCAAAGGATGAACTAAAGACCCTGTAAAGATCGCTGCAACCTTTTTGGCCATTACCTTGTAACCGAACCACAATGGGAATCTTTAGGTCCAGGTCCCTTACAGCCATGATGATGCCCTGAGCAATGACATCACACCTCATGATGCCTCCAAAGATGTTGACAAGGATAGCCTGAACCTGAGGAATGATATAACATTCAGAACCTAAATCATTCTTCTACTCTTTCCTAATGCAGTGTTAGCCAACCTTTTTTTTTAAGCCATTGCACATTTTTCATTCTAAAAACCCCATGGTGCACCACCAAGCAAATGTCAAAAAGATGTATATAATGAGATATAATGATCTCATGGCTTTAGTCTCACTTTTTTAAAGATTATATAGCCACTTGCTAAGTGAATGTTATGTAAGTAAGTAATTAAGTCAAACTGGTTTAATGTCTGTGATGATCATTCGCAGCACTCTAACGTGATGCAATAATTACTGGGGTTATGATGCTACACCAACATAAAAAAAAAAAAGTTCTTACCTTTCTGTCAGAGGTGATGAGCTTGAAGGCCTCAGTCACCTGATGAGCTGTGGCACCACCCCCCACGTCTAGGAAGTTGGCCGGCGTTCCACCGTGGAGCTTGATAATGTCCATGGTGGCCATGGCCAGACCTGCTCCGTTTACTGGAAACAAAATATACCGGGATGTCAATACCGAGGCATATAGTAAACCGTGACTTTCCTGTAGTGTTACAACCCTAACGAATACAAAAAAAAAAAAAAAAAAAAAAAAAAAAGGTACACAAAATATACTTTTCTGCAACTGAACTACTAACTCATTTTCTTTTCCGCTAAGTATTAATTTCTTTTTTTTTTTTTCACTGAGGTGGGATTTTATGTTCTAACATGTTCTAACATATGGACAATTGAATGCAAAGCCGACTTATTTAATTGAGATATTCAAGAGCAAAAAAAGCCATACAACTTTACAGATAAGGGAAGAATAACACTTCCTGTTCTGAAATGAATTTTTCAATGATCAAAAATATATGTCAACCGACGATTTTAATCGATGGCCTACTGTTTAGTTCACTAACCTCCATTTAAAATCTAATCATTAAAAACAGATGAGTGTGTGTGTGTGTGTGTCTGACATTCCACTGACTAACCCAAGCAGCCGATTGTTCCGTCCAGACCAATGTAGTTGAGGTCCGCTTTAGCAGCCTGCCGATCGCGTGGGTCTTCTTGAGTCCAGTCCTGCATGTCAAAAACCTTCTTCTGACGATACACAGCGTTGGAATCAAAGTTGATCTTAGCGTCCATGCACATCACTGCAGAGAAACCAAACAGAGCAAACTGCTTCACACCAGAAACGTTAAGCATAGAACAGACGCAGCACAAAGTAAATTTAGCACATTGCTTGTGTTATATTCCCTTCGCTCGGTTTGAGTTTCTTTTACAATTAAGTTTAACCTTTCTTCTGGAAAATCACTGCGCCTCTCAGATGGTGGTGCAATACTCAATTTTCAACATTGACATTTGACTTTCTTTATTACTGTTTTATGTGCTTTTTTTCCCGTCCTGTTTCTATTTTATTCCCTCTTCCTCTGTGTATTTTATTATGTTTCTTTCCCCCATTCTGTTTCTATTTTATTCTCTCTTCCTCTGTGTATTTTATTATGTTTTACGTTTGTTACTTTTAGCTTTTAATTATTTTATACACCAAAGAACTTATTATGTTAGTTACGTATATATATATACCCTTTTCGGACCTCCTCCACACTGTTATCAACCCTCCCTAGACTGTAATACTCTATCCCAGACAATTATATGCACAGTAGAGTTGTACATAGAGCAGAGTGAACGAGAGAGTGGCCGACAGACTGTAAAGCGGAGTGAACGAGAGAGTGGCCGACAGACAAGGGGAGATGCTGAGAGGTGCTACGATGCATGAGCCAATCAGCATCAGGAACAGAAGAGCATGCTCAATTAGCCAATAATACACCGTACTTTGTACAATCTCATCCGGGTAAACAAAGCTAGCAGCATTTGCAAATGCACTTATCTCAATTTCAAAACGAGAATCCACATTTTTAAAGCGAAAACTTTCATATGTGTATAATTATTTTTGCTATATTTTTGCAATATAGCAAACATTTCGCAAGATCGGATTAAAACAAGAAATCTGCAACGTGCTGAGAGAGAGAGCGTAAGGAGAACCGTGATATAGAGAGGGAACACTGTACGGGGTTCCTTGACTTGCAACATAATTCCATTCCTACGGCACAACGTGATGTGATTTTTTTTGCCTTAAGTCGGCATTCACATAACCATCAGAAGAAACTGATTTACGCTTGAGAGCCATAATGAAGGGCAAAAATCCCACAAAACAAACAATAGAAAGTGACTGAAACACAATCCATTGTATGGTATACAACTGAGGAGTATAAACAAAGAAGTATTCTGTGACATCTTATTTGTCCATGCCAACTAGTTCCTGCAAGAAATTTGTTTCAACCTCACAAATGCCAAATGTCAGAATGATGGAGCTACACTTTCTTATTGAATTTATGCAACGTGGTAAACCGAAGCCCTTCTGTATAAATAATTATTGATTGGTTGACTGATTTAAAATTTGGTTGGATGAAACCGAAAGTCTGAAATAGCGCACCAATGCCAGAAGAGTCCTCCACCATGGGGTTGATCTCCAGCATTGAAGCGTCATACTGGATGAACAGATTATACAGTTTGATCATGTTTTCCGCTGCTTCATTTATCAGAGCCTCGGGGAAGCCCATCTTCTCTGCTACCTATAAAAAAAAAAAAGAAACAGTCTTTGATGAAATATGTCAATGGAAGTGGACAGTTCCAACATACAGTTGTCAGTGGTCCTACCTTCACCGCCTGCTCCATCTTAATACCCGTCACAATGTCAATTGGCTCCTTTACAATGGCGTCTGGATTCTCCGCGGCGACATCCTCGATGTTGACTCCGCCTTGTGAGCTGCCAATCAGAACGGGGCCCTGTCGGAGCAATAGGGAGTTACAGGCAGATTCAGGAGTCAAACATCTAGTTTTGATTTCAGAGCAGAGCTAAGGAACAAGATGGTTCATCCAGGAGGCAGATTACAGGAGTTGATTATCTGAGTGGCAAATTGACGGTGGACAAGTTAGGGGGGGGAGGGGTGGAAGAGGGGGAGAAGCAGAGAAAAAGAAGAAAGTGGGGTGAATAACTCATCTATAGCCTAACCTGAAAGGACCTTTCCATGGTGATGGCAAAGTAATACTCTCTGCGCGGATACCTGCGCTCACAGATGAAGACCTGGTTACAAATACGACCTGCCTCCCCTGTCTGTTTGGTGTACAACTTCCTGCCAATCATCTGAGATGAGATGTCCCGTGCTTCCTCTGGACTGGAAAAGAGGAGAAATCAGGGAGAAGAGAAAAGAAGGAGAGAAAAAAACAAACAACAAAAAAAAACGTTTCAGCTCTGCTTAGCATCACATGTTATTTTAGAGATGGTTTTCGTTTACACATACGAGTAAACAATTCGGACGCCGCCCTTCAGTCCTCCCTCAAATGTCCCCTTTCCTCTGCCTCCTGCGAGAACCTGAGCTTTAACCACCAGGTCTTTAGTACCTGAGAGTGAGAGAGGGAGAAGGTGAGTGATGGATTATGGGGGGAAAAACAAGAAACAAAGAGAAAGTGAGATTTACTAGCACTTAAACCATATAAGGTGTTTTGCAGGGGTGTGTCTAGAATTCTGGTTTGGGGGGCCAAGTAGGGGTGCAGAATGTGGTACAATGATTTTTTTTAAAAATGCCACACAGATAGATTGTGATAAAGAGAAGTTTAAGTTAATTTTTTTTAAATGATTTTGTCAAAGAAAACTTGAACAGTACATGGAAATACTTAGAGTATTATAATAGTATAGATATGTAATAGATTAAAGAGCTGAATTAAGTAGTTATTCTGGAACACTAGTTTACTGTTAGTAATAATAATTATAAAAATAAACAGACATTTGTTTAAATGAAGGAAATGCTATGTATGAGAGGCCTATTCAGTGACAATGCCAATCTAGCCTCAACTACTTGATTGAGACAAACGTACAATTTTCCAGAATATAGCTACAAGGCAAGGCTAAAACACTCAAGATTACTAGTCCAAACTGCCACTAAAACAAACTGAGATATATTGTTGCAGATATCTCAAAGACCAAATAATAAAGATACTTCCATTTAAGAGGTAAAAAAAAATAAATGAATGCACCAGAACAATCTTACATTTATGTTTGACAAATGTTTCACAAAGTAAAAAAATAAGGACAGGCAGGTTTCGCCTTTTTGTTTAACACAAGTTCTTTATAGCACGGTAGTTTAATCCTTGAGACAGGACAAAAAACATGGTGTTGAAAGAAGAAAAAAAACCAGAGGAAGTCCACGTCAGAGTTTGGAAGAATGTGCTGTGACAGCTGAGGCCACTGAAGACACAAGGTGGGGGAGGATATCCTATAATTAAACCTTGAGTGAATTTGGATGGGCCCTGAATTCGAACTAACAACAAATTGAATTTTTACTTCTAATCTCAACAGCTCCAAATGATCACGAACACTTTTTTTTTTTTAAAACTACATTTTTAAATTTTTTAAAATGAATTTGCCACATTGTGCTGTGCATACGCTTTGTCATGTAACATATTGCAACGTGTCCCGAATGATGGAGAGGGGCAACATGTGCAGGATCTTTTAGCCAGTAATTGTAGTTGAGCATTAAAACATATTATAGATAATATATCTATACAAAACATATTTTGGTCAAACATGTTTTTAGAGCTATTATTATTATTATTATTATTATTATGTAGATGCTGAAACTGATTAACAATAAGTAAAAAAAAAAAAATCAGGAAACATACCCACTCCTCAGTTTTTTTTCATTTAGATCAAAATTAGTTTTTATTGATAATGAAACATTATTGGAGATTCTCACCAATTTGTTTGGCCACGCTGTACGCTTCATCTGGCGAGCTGGCCACCATTCCTGCAGGCACCATGACTCCAGCCTCCTTTAGGAGCCCAATGCTCATGTATTCATGGAGAGACAGGTTTCTCTGCTGCTGTTGCTGCAGTTGAGGAGACACCAGTCCTCTGAAAAGGGAAGATCCACCAAGAACCTGCTAAACAGGAAAAATAAAAAAAAGACTAAATGATATTGAACAGCACAAAGCTGTTAACCAGAAGTACAGCACTTCTAAATGTTGTTAAGTAATCCAAAGCAAATCCCAAATACCATTTGAAAAGGCGGTATTTACCCCTGGATACTCAAAAAAACTCAAAATACAAGCGGTAAAAGCTTTGAGAAAAATCAATACATCTCTACACTAAATGAAAACACTACAAATCAGGAAGGAATAAATACAAACAAACAGTTGAAATAAAAAGTAAATAATAGGAAAACATTTTAAGATGAAAACACTACAAATCACAAAGGAATAAATACAAAAGAATAACAGTTGAAATGAAAAGTAAATAATAGGAAAACATTTTAATTAAACAGTACTAAACTATCTGGGTATACAGGGAGAAAACTGGATTCAAATATCTGAACAGGATTTAATTACCCCTGAATAACAGCATAATAAATCAGGAGTAAAACTCTTTGTAACTGACAGCCCATTTCTGCTGCATCCTTCTGTCTCTCACAGCTGGCTGGCGTCATTAAAAGCCGACAATTGGGTACAGGGTTTTCGGGCTATCTTTTGCTCTGTCCGTGATGAGAGCTGCTGCTAACCTTCACTGCTGCGTTAGCATGTTAGCCAAAACAATAAGTAACATGAGTGAATGTCAAAGTAAAAAGGCGTCACAACAGCCGTTGGCAGAGCCACGGTGAGGCCAGGGAGCCGCACCGCTGACGCCTCCCAGAGTTGCTTTGCCACAGACATAGTCTCACCTTTGAGGAGGAGGTAATGGAGCTTCTGCCACAGCAGTTTTTAAGAGTGGCCGTGAGTCGGCCGTAGAACAGGGACGCCGCCATGTCTTCTCTATTGACAAGCCGTATGTACACGCATGCGTAGTGTACTCGGCTCAGTGACAGAAGGACAGTGGCCCCTTTGAAGATACATACGTACGTTCTAAATATGATAAAGATATTAAACATTTTTATATTTTGATATTGTGATATTTTGTTTTTTAATAATAACACATAAAATATAAATACAATTATATTATTTATTTATCTAATTACATTCAGTGACGGTAATATCAGCCATATAATAAACGGCGTCAGTTATGGGGTTACTTTTCCAATTACAGACAACGTAACTAATTGCTTTTTCCATCGTAATGGTCGGTGTTGGTCGTTTGGTGGAAATAGAGGAGGAGAGTTTGTGTAACACAAATACGTTGGAGAAAGTTATGCAACACAAATGCATAGGGGAAGTTACACAAATTGAAGAAACGAGAGAAAAGAAATGCTCTGGCTCCCAGACAAAGAGAAACCTAAATGTCGTAAAAGCCACTTCTTTCATAACCGACCCAACACAATAACGAATTAAACACATTCAGATAGAATTGAAGGGGCCTTAAAGACAAACATAAAATAAACAGAATGCACTGAGCACACATGTTTTCGAGGTTTTTGCCTTGGGAATCCTATTGCCTTTGTTTGATAACTGAAAGTAAAACAGATTTGTGGACAAAAATCCTCAAGCTAATTCTAATATCATCTGAAGACTTTTCAAAACTTTCCAGAAAACCTCACAGTGAGGTGCCAGGGAGAGCGTGGGGGCCTCCAATGAAATATGGCATGCTGGACATAGATGGGCCACTTCTGTAGTGCGTGAATGATAACAAGTCTCTAGTCACTAGGTGGCAGCAACACATTCAGTGTTTTGTACAAATAAAAATGTTATTAGGTTCCCAAATATATTTAAATTTTCGGGTGTGTTCATTACATTTCATCATAGTCTTTTAACATAGCAGATTATTTTGTTTTTGTCCGTAAAAAAAGTTTGTTGATGAATATCTTTCTCCAAACTAAACTCTGATTTTCTTCTTTAAAATAAAGCAAGCCTTATCTGTCACAGGCTTCAGCTATTTTGTAAAAAAAAATCTGAATTATCCAACAAGGCGTGTGAAATCTTACATTTCCCCATCTTCCTCCCTCGGTTATCTTTAGTCATAGAGAATAAAATGAATACATTCATGCACATTTTTTGCAGTGAAATAGGTCAGCCAAACCATGCGCACCCTCAAAATGTAATATCTAAGAGTATCACAATTAAGAGTTAAATTTGCTGAAATTGATTTATCAACCTTTAATATTTTAGCACCTCATGGACACCCTGTCAATGCTTGACAAAGTCAAATAAATTTTAAACGCTCGCTAATTGTGATTCTTTCCATTTGACATGAGACATATGACAAATCTATATTATTAATATTTAAGTAAATTTCTTGCCATTGGTGTCATTGTAGTGCTGATCGCTGCTTGTTTTTTTTGTTTTGTTGTTTATGTAAATGACTATTACAGCAGAGTAATGTTGTAAGTATTTATCTGTGATACACCTGTGAAGAAGCCTTCCCCAATTTTGTTATGTTCTAACCAAACAATGTCAATAAAGACTATTCTAGTATATATAAATGTCTTGACTTAAACCTAATGAGTTTCTGTGTGCAGCAAGAGCCTAGAATAACCTTAGTACAAACTTTTTTTTTTTCAAAGATCATTTATTTACATACAATATATACACAAACATTTACACATACAAAAACATTTGTACGGAAATATGTGAAACTAGTACCAAAGAATAACATGTACTTGTACCACAGACACCAGGAAGTGATGTCTATAATGATGAGTAGGACTGTTTGCATTTCATGTTTGAAAAACCTTCATTTACAAACAGAGTTATTTTATATAGCTGTAATGGACTGTAATGACCTTTTTACTGATAGAGCCACCGTGATGTTCACCTACTTTTGGAACTTTGTGGTTTCACAGTGAACTGAAACAATCCTACTTAATTGTTCAAAATCTGCCCCTGGTATATAAGTTTTTGGTAGAGTGCAGCAGAAATCTGTGCTTCAATTAGTTCCAAAACGTAGCCAATAAAATAGGAAAAAACTATACTGTAATTGAAAATAACCTATACACACATATGCATCCCCGAATGTCCAAAACACACAAACACATTTTCAGTCCGAGTCGCTGCTGCTGCTGGATGAGTCTGTGGACATGGCCTCTACATCGTCTTCGTTCTCTTTGTTGTGTCCTGGAGGGTCCAGGCCAAAGTCGTTGGTGTGGTGAGGTGGCAGCATCCCCGCTGCGATGTCTGACGACTGCCAGGGGTAGTGAGGAGTTAGGATGTCTGACACAGAAGGCAGAGACAGAAAGCAGTGTCAGACCACACTGACTCAGAAGATATGAATTTCATTAACACATATACAGGAATTTTACATTTGTTAGAATGATTATTAGTTGGTTCAGGGCATAAAAATATGTTTTAATATATATATATGTATTTTTTCATATATTACATTAAATATCATGTCCTTTTATGTCATCCCTGGGTCAATCCTCTAGGTCCTGTGGATGTTTTTCATTTTAAATTCTGTAATTAAGTTATTGGCTACATTCAGAATGATACTAATAATAACAATAAATGAGTCCCTTATTTGTTCCACAAGAGGGAAATTTACATTGCGAATCTTTGCAGCCAACACAGGTTTCACGAGAGGCACCATCGAGTAAGTGGTTGCAACTGACACACAGGAATCAAACCAAGGACACTGCTTGCACGGCAGGCATGCTAACTGGCTAACAGGTGTGCTAACTGCTGCACTATAGATCCACTGAGCCATTGATTAATCCAGAGCTACCTGGATATTCACCCGATTAAAAACATTAATCGAATGAAAACCCTTTTTTTTTTTTTACTTTTTTCATATATTTGTTTTCATAAGATTTTAGAAGTACATTTCATTGCTGATTGCATTCACTTTCACGCAATATTTAAATATTCTGTTTTTTTTTAATTCTGCAGAAAGATTAAGAAAGTAAAATATCACATTTGCTGTTTCAATATTGGTCAAAATAATCTTATTAAGATTTTTTTTCCCCAAAGTCAAGCAGTCCTTCCCACCAAAGATAATGAAAAGAAGACTATCAATATCGTCAGGTTGGCAGCAGCCCTGCTTACCTGGCAACCTCCCAGCAGCCAATGCATCGCCTGGCAGATGACCATTAACGCCATTGGTTGGCATATTTGCCATGTGACCAAGAATCCCACTGCGCATCTCCAGGTCTGTGGGATAAGGTCGTCGTGGATCACCTGGATGAAAAAAATGTCATATGGTCAAAAAACTGTGAGGAAACCAGACACACATGACACATACTGATAAGACAAAATGATACCCACCTGGTACCCAATTCAGAGGAGCACATACAGCATTACTGGCACTGATTCTGTGAGCATATTTAATTATTTCTTCTGAGGAGATACTTCCTGTAGAAAACAAATGTCATAAATGATTATTTTTTTTATTTGAATAAAAAAAAAAAATGTATCGGTTAATCAGTCGGTTCATTTAATCATTAATCGAAGCCTGACCTTTCCTGGCTTTGTCAATGGATTTTAGTTTCTCTTTCGCCTGATAAACTGCTGTGGCCTGAAAACGTGAATACAAGAGAAGCAGCTTCACAGTCTTGATGATGTTCTATTTTTGGCCTTTGATGTTAAATAAAACAAGTAAAAACTGTTTAGCAGAAACATCACTGTTGTATTGTATAATGTTGTATTATTCCAATCACCTACCAGGACCTGTTCTGCCTCTTTCAGCTGCTTTTGCAGCTGCTGGATGTCACTATCTCTCTTCTCCACCTCTTTCTGCAGCTGCTGCATTTCTCGGTGGATTTTGCCCTGCTGCTGAGCCACTTCCATCAGCTCCTGGAACTCTCTGTCCCTCTGCACCAGCAGCTCCAGGATCTGAAGACCAGAACAAACCCTTTAATCCTGACAGTATTGAACCATGCTTCAATCATGCAATTCTGTGCCAGAGGTGATGCCATTACCTGAGCATCTTCTCCTGGGTGAGGCAACTTCTGACTCCTGGACAGAGCCAACATCTCAATCATCTCCCTGAAAAAAAAAAAAAAAGAGCCCCCTTCTGTTACTTGAGATTTATTACATCCCACAATCTAAGAGCAGATGCTTTTTCATTTGGCTTTTGTTTTTTGTTTCAATTGGCTGCTATAAACAGCATGCAGGGAACTCTTAACTTCTTAAGTTCTTGGGGCAGTGGTGGCTTAGTGGTTAAGAAAGCGGACTTGGGTCAGGTTCGAGTCCACCAGCTGCCAAGTTACCACTGCGGTGCTCTGCGTATGGCACCGTCCCCATACACTGCTGACCGGGCACTTAAAGCTGCCCACTGTTCACTTTCGTGATGGGTTAATAGCAGAGGTCACATCTCATTGTGTGCTATGTCACAATGGCAAGAAGCTCACTTTCAACAAGAAGGGGAACAGAGGCACATATCACAGAGAATAGAACCAGGCAGACATAACGTCCATCCAGATGTCATGTCTGCCTGGTTAATTTCTTTTCTTTTAACATGGTGTTTAGGTTGCATGCCTAGTAGTAGTACAGCTTTATTCTCTCCGGACACTCACACTGTCTGGACACTGTCCCTCGCTGAGTTATTTTACCCATTTTATATCAAATGTTTTCTTAATTACTATTATTTTATATTATCAATATATTTGTTTATATCTATGTTTTGATGTTTAGATGGGGGGTTAATTTAATTAATTAATAGTATATATTTCTGGGGTGTTGGAACTAATTAATTGTTTTTTAGTTATTTTAATGGGGAAAATGCAATCGAGATACCAGCGGCTCGACATACGAGTGCTGTTGTGGAACGGATTAAACGTATCGTATCTTGAAGCCTGCGAGCTTTACCTTCACATTATAAACAAAATCCCATTTCTAAATGTCTGTATCTTTACCAGATTTTCTAAACTTGGGCCTGTCTGAGCAACTGTCTCTCAAAATCTTAGTTTTGTCTAACTGCATCATTCTGTGACTGCATCCTTTACTGTCCTGGTTTCATCCCCCATGGAAATTCCCAAATGTCTTATCTTCATCAATAACTATTGGGATGCAGTTGTTTGGTTAAACGCTTTATAGTCACCCTTTAATTAAAAAAAAAGAAGATAGTTTATGTTTGCGACACTATAAAATATATTTACTACTCAGTTTCATAAGAAATGTTAGATCTTGTAACTTCAAACTCACAAACTTCACTTACTAAATTGCATTTTTCTTTCAAAACAACATCAGCTATTGTATATATACTGTTTATTTTGTTGTTTTCATTCACCTATATTTTTAAAGTGACATAAGCTTGTTTCCGCAGAGCCGCAAACGGCGGACGAAAGAAGCGTGTTTCATTGTTTCAAAGTAACTCTAATAGTCGAAACATTTAAAATAAAAAAAAATACAAAAATGAGAAAATGTAAACACTAAGAGTTCCTACTTACCGAGATAAGACCTCTAGATCATCCAATACCGACAACAAACGATCTTTTGTCGCTTTCTCCGCCGCCGCCATGTTAGTTTCTGTTGCTGCTGCGACTGCTACTACGCAGAACGGGAAGTGGCGTAAAATTCTCTTTTTAATCTTTTTCTATGCGCTCTTAAAATGATAGTCAATGCTTTTTTTTTTTTAGATAACTGAATTTGAAGTAATTGCTTCACAATTTTAATATAAATTAACATAAATATGTGTGTTTTTAAAATTTAGCAGTAATTACTTCATTATAACATTTTATAACAAGCTTTACTTTCGGTAACTGATTACTATTAACGTACAAAATTTTTCCCACTCTATAGCGTGGTCCTTTAAATAATATTAATACATATGGTTTTAGCTGTAAAGTAATTTTAATACATTTGTTTTGTTTGTTTTTTCTAAAAGAATTATTCCATTTAATTATTTTGAAAAATATATGTATTCATGCTGCTACAGATAAATATGCTTTTTAATTTTAATTGTGATCTCATGTCTGTTACAATCAGCATTTTTGTTTTCGTTATCGCGCTGGAAAAAACGTCTACTGGTGACGCAGGTCATGTTTATTTTAGTTTGAAGCGCTGACCGGAAAAGAGAGGGCAAGAGAGAGAGAGAGTCAAAGACAAAGAGAGAGACAGAGAGAGAGAGAGAGAGACAGTAAGAGAGGGACAGAGACAAACAAAACAACACGCAGGACCCTCTTTTCGGATTCGCTTGTCTTTATTACTTCAGTTTTAAGAGTTGCAGACCACAGTCACCATGGTGAAAGTGTCTTTCAGCTCTGCGTTGACACAGAAAGAAGTGAAATGGGACGCGAAAAGTCTTCTTCCTGAGAACACAGTGAGTCTGAAAAAACGGCGGAAGGAGACAGCGAACACAACTGTTGTCCGGTTCTGTGTTTACCACCCATTTTGTTACCTTTTAGATTAGCAATAGAGATTTAAAGTCATTTTTATTTATTGACGAAGGCGTGTTCGATATAGTACATTAACAGTTCGTCGACCGCTTCACCAGGGCCGCACATTCTTGAACAAGTTAAAACATGTTTGAAAGTTTCGGTATCCAAAGTAATTTTGTCGTAATTAGGAAATATAATCCCTGTTTAAAAACAATTGATATCAACAACATCGACTACAGTAATCTGTAATACGTATATATTTATAAATAAATAGACTTCCCCCGTTTTTCATCGACCTTTATACACGACCAAAATGTAATAAAAAATGTATTTTTTTTATTACACCGCAATACGATAGGCGTTACAATTTAATTCATTTAATTTAATTTCTTGTTTTCATTTTAGCTGCAACAGGACTTTCAGTTTCAATTATGCTTTTGCTAACATTTAGTTACTTTTTTAAATTTTTTTTATCAATCTTATCTGCGTCAAGCTATTACAGTCATAACCAGCCAGCGATTAACTTTGCATTATTTCGGCTTATTTGAAAGGTATTATCTCTGCAATAGGCAGAAGACAGGAGTCGGAGCTGGAGGTGGCAGAGTTAAAGATGCTAAGATTCTCTTTAGGAGTGACAAGGATGGACAGGAAGGTTTGGAGAAAAAGCTTGAGAAGCCAGATTGAGATGGTTTGGACATGTGCGGAGGGGGCACAGTGGATACATTGGTAGAAGAATCTTAGAGATGGAGCTACTAGGTAGGAGAAAAAGAGGAAGGCCAAAGAGGAGATATGTGGATGCAGTGAGGGAGGACATGCAGATAGTTGGAATCAGAGAAGAGAAGATGCAGAGAACAGGGAGAGATGGAAAACCATGATTCGCTCTGAAAAACGGACAAGCCGAAAGAAAATAAATCAAGTATTGTTGAATACAGTAATAAACACAAAAGTCAGGCTTCCGAGTAATATGTTCATATCTAAAGTATGTTCTGACTTTTAACTCCAGGACCGCGCAATCATAATCACAATGGTTTTCATTCATATTGAAACCATGACTGTTCAAAATAATTATTCACTGATTTGATCATTTTATTTTATTGAATTTATTTTATTTTGGCAGTTCAAGGAACTGCCAAAAAATAAACCGAAGTGAAAATATTTAAATAATATATATGTAAATGATAAAAAAATTAAATATCAAAAACTATGTGGTAATAAGATTGTATGATTAGTATATGTTTAATTTAAATATTAAACAACATTAAAAAACACTGTGAAACTCACCAGTTTGTTTACATGAGTGCTCAAGGCCAAAGTTCCAAATTACGAAAGTTTTGTTCCCCTTTCTTTTCAGCCAAAGGCTGCTTTTTTCTGCCATTCTCACCAAGTAAATAATCCACTTCCTCTTCTTTCTCTCTTGAAACGCACTGAAAGTGGAACTACTGTTTGTGTTCGTGGGACGGGGTGCAGCTCACAGCACAAGTGTGCACTGCTACATTTACATCACAGAATGAGAGCAAAATGCAAGCAGAGCAAAAGGCACAATAATAATAATAATAATAATAATAATAATACATTTTATTTATAAGCGCCTTTCAAGTCACCCAAGGACACTGTACATAAACAAAACAATAGAGCAGCGGCAAGATACATGCCAGCGTCCACTCTCAGTGGCCATGATGAACAATGATTTAATGCAGCAGGACATTGATGTGATCAGACTGTGGCACTCCTGAGTTGTAATAGAAGCCCGGCTACTACGATAGCAGCCTTCAGGTCATTTGCTTTTTGGGTGTTTGTTGTATGTTCATCTTGATGATAGTCAAACGATTCTTTATGGGTCAGCTGAGTTTTCTGGCACCAGTGTGGGCAGATTGTCAGGTTCTGCTGGAAAATTGAAATCAGCATCTCCATAAATCTTGTCAGCAGAAGGAAGCATGAAGTGCTCTAAAATGTCCTGGTGGTTAGTTGCGTCGACTTTTGACTTCAGAAAACACAGTGAATAATATTAGGGTGAAACGTCACCGTTAGTGGTTAGTGGGCTAATGCTGTTTGTAAGCTTTTGACACTGTGCAACATTTAATCACTAAATATAGTTTCTTTTGAAATTTGGTTTTGGGAACCTGTTTTTTTTTTTTTTTTTTTTTTTTTGCTGTCAAAACTTCACTGTACCTCTTCCTGCTTGCGGCTCAGATTTTGGTAAATCACATCTAAATCAAGTCAGGTAAAATGGCATAAAAATGTAGGCAGAGGCAACTTCCAACTCAACTAGCAAGATATCTTTCTTCTACCCATCATGGCATGGGTATATCATGTTTGAATGCGTCACTGTGTCTGGACAACTAACATATTAATGAGATCTACAAGCTGCTTCAACCTTTTGTGGAAGAAGAGAACACATCATGCATGTGGAACGGTGTGTGTCATGAGTGGAGTGCACAGACAGAATCACACACACACACACACACACAGCTACAACGGCTGCTATCTGTGAACTATCGGCTGATTTATTGACTGTGTACGGCAGATGTTGCGGAGGCAGCAGGATATGTCCTTACTGTACACTTGCACAAGGTTGGCCTCTCACTTCCAACCACCCCGTGCCGTTGTCTGCTTCCAGCACACTCTTACTAGATTGAAAGGGTTTTGTTGATCACATCTTCCTTGCAACCACAATGTGGTTGTTAAAGCAACTTGGTGGTCACATAATGTCACCAGAGATGTTGAAACGCCTAGAATACTGAAGCACGTTTTCCGATACAAGCGCTACAACACTGTGAAAAACAGTTTACAATTTTTGATTTCCTATAGTCAATATAAAGGTCTTCTATAGCCCATTTTGGCAGAGGAAAAGAAGCTGCCTCATAACGCACTTCGCTAATAATTGTGGACATGTGTATTAAACAGGGATGGTCCTCTCTACCTTTACTATGGGTTTCTATCAGAATATAGCTTTCTTCTGTCACATGCAGATCTTGTTAAAGTCTTTGGAGCAATCCCTTTTTATGTTGTGTTATTCATGCCATACAAACTCGATAAAGTGCCCAGACATAGCACCTGTCAAAATATTGAGGAGTACTTGTTTGGGGTAGCACAAAGAACAGGCTAATAATTGTGGACACAGTGTACTTGTTTGGGGTAGCACAAAGAACAATTTGTGGTTGTACTGCTGAAACAATTCTCAGGAACCCAGTAAGAATTGAAAAATATGTAGAATTCACAAATTATACATTAATATGTTCTGTTTGAGTATGTATACAGTCAAAACACAATCCCGTTCACTGTTTATTATTTGCAATTCTTGTTATGTTTTAAAGACATGGCTGAACGCCGTACTCTCTTGTCTCCCTCCTTCAGGATCCTGAAGCAGCCAAACCCGCTGTGGTTCCTGTTTCTCGTCAGCAAAACCAAGCCTGGTGCTGGTGCATGTGTCTTGGTCTGGCCCTCATGTTGTCAGGTGTGGTGGTGGGCGGAGTTTATCTGTTCAGATACTATTCTGAGGTGAGAAGTTGAATCTGTTCGATAATCATGGACCACATCAACCAGTTGATTTTACAGTGAAAATAAATGTATTCAGTATTTTTGAATATTATAACCTAATGATGTGTTTTGGTGCAATGCATATATTTTTTTTATTAATGATACATAAAATGCCTTTTTTATCATTAATATTGATGAATTCATATCTTGGTTTTATTATTTTAAGGTTATTCACATTGAAAAGGGTTATTTTTTTATTTTTTATTTTATTTTTTGCCAAACTGACTACTCATAAGGGTATGGAGGACTTCTGAATTTCCAAACTGACTACCCATAAGGGTATGGAGGACTTCTGAATTTTCTACATTTTCTTAATGATTCTTCAAGATACGCGCTACCCGAAATACCACTTTTCCATGTTACGAGTAAACAACTTTTGCAATAAATACTGGCAAAATCAGACAACAGTTCTTAGCATATATACCCCGAGTGCGGGATGAGGCAAGACTGACGCCACACACCGAGTCACTTAGTGATCACTTGCTGCTTGCGTGGTATTGTCACTTGTTTGGCAACCGAGTTATGGTCTGACAACTGGGGCAACTTTTGGTTAAAAATGTTGTTCTTAAACCGAATTGTTTGAAAAGGGAGGCGCTCGACAACAGTTTTATTTATTGCAAAGACTTTCTATTCACAAACTTTACCAATTGATACAGTGGTTCAAAATCTTAGTCTTTCTTTGTCATTTTGTGTCCGTTTGTTTGTGTCTTTAGAACGGTGAGGTGTTTGTGTGTGGACTCCAATACCGTGAAGAAGACTATATGATCAGAGACGAAGAGGAGGAGGTAGGACCGAAAGACTCAGAAGAAATGATGGTCAATGGGTTGGTTAATAACATACACGTGTTCTGCAGGTGCACGTGGAGTTTTCCAGCTCTCACCACCTCTACCTGCTGGAGGAGAAGATCAGAATCCTGCAGGAGGAGCAGGTGGAGCTGATCAACGTTCCTGTTCCTGAGTTTGAGAACGGAGATCCCGCCACCATTGTGCATGATTTCCCGAGGGTTGGTGCATACGCTCACCCACACACACACAAAGATGTTTGTATGTTGAGTACTGGATCCGTAAGGTTTCAAGTTTGAGTCCACCAGCTGCCAAGTTACCACTGAGGTGCTCTCAGCATGGCACTCTCCCGACACAATGCTCCCCAAGCTTAAGATGCCCCCTCGCTCACTTTGGTGATGGGTAAAATGGAGAGGTCACATTTCGTTGTGTGCTGTGGTGTGCTGTGTCATAATGACAAGTAGTTCACTTTCCTTCCACTTTCCTTACCTTTTTTTCCTTCTATTTGCAGATGTTGACGGCCTACCTTGACCTAACCCTGAACAAATGCTATGTGATTCCTCTGAACACCTCCATAGTTCTTCCTCCCAAGAACTTCCAGGATCTTCTTACCAGCATCAAGGTAACAAGAAGTATCATGTTGGGTTGAATCCCACCCCAAGTCATGGCTTAAATGTCTGTCACTATCTGTTCATTTTCTGTCATTTCCAGATGTCTTGTGCTCTTTCTTGAATGTGAACTGTTACATTGCCCTCTGTTTTCTGCTCTCTGTCCCACAGGCAGAGAAGTACTTCCCTCAAACCTACCTTGTCCACGAGGAGATGGTGGTCACAGAGCGTCTCTATCATGTTGAGCAACTTGGCTACTACATCTATAACGTCTGCCGTGGAAGAGAGACCTTCAAACTGCAACGCAGAGACCACATCTTGGGTAACAAGCATAAAGAGACATTGATTTTGTTGAGAGATCTTGCTGAATAACCTCTGTTATCTCCTTGCTGCTCCTTTCCTTCTGCTCTTCCCGCCTGTACTTGCGTTGGCTTTTTAAAACACCTTCCGTATGCCAGAATGCCAACTTAGGGGTTTGTACTTACAGAGTGAAATGTGTCAAAATAATTCCAGTAATAGTAGTTATTTTCAGTTACAGTATTTTCCGGTCTGTAAGTCACCTTTTTCATTCTTTAACTGGTGCGACTTATACTCGGGAGCGACTTATATATGTCTATTTTTTCTTCTTTATTATGCATTCTTTGGCTAGTGCAACTCTGGAGCGACTTATAGTCCAGAAAATACGTCATATGTCATTTTTGTGATCAAATGAGGTCAGTCAATTGCATCCAAATTTCTAAAAAGAAAAAAAAAAAAGACTGATTACGGTACAATGCGTTCCCTATAAATACACCCGAGTTACAATATGTTTTGAAGCGTGTGAAGGGAAACCTTGTTGCAGAAGCAGAAAAGGTCCCAACTTCCACCGAAACGCAATTATGACAGGACCCAATCATCTGCTTGCTCGACTCATCAACATTACAATAATTAGCGGTTAACAAGGTAGGAACGTCAGGAGACATGGGGGCGATCCTTTACCCAAAATAAACCGAACTGTAATGGCTATACCGAGGTCAGCACCAAACCATGGGTTTGGAAAAATCCTTAAAAAAGTAAAAAGTAGCGGCTTATGGACCAGAAATTACGGTCTTTTTTTCGTTTTGCAATTTGTAAATAGTCCTGCCCTTTTTCCGTTCATTGTTGAAGTACTTAAAATGAGGACTCAACTCCTCATCATCTTTTCCTGTGTTTTTCTTTTACAGGGATGCAGAAACGCGAGGTTCTGAACTGCCGTAAAATCCGTCACTTTGGCAGCATGGTGGTGGTGGAGACACTGATCTGTGAGCCGTAGGTTCTCATACTTGCTCCCAGGGTCTAACATATTTTAATCCTCACCTGTTGTTCAATGTTCATTTTCTGAACTTCTGTTCAAGTGGTTTTGTCAGGAAAATGAGGTGACAATTTACTGCTTTTTAAATTTCAAAACTGTGTTGAAACTATGTAATTCTCTATGTTTCTCACTTACATGGAGGGAAGAGGGCTTTTATACTGTCATCTTTGATTTTTAAAATTAAATTATTTTAATTGCAGAAAACCCCCCACAACGTGATTATTAAGGCATAACTTTACTTTTGTTTGAGCTAAGAAATTGTTTTAAATATTCATTCATTGTTTGAAAAATAGAATAATCTCTACGCCCTTCAATTTTTATCTACGGTTTTCTGTTAAGTTTATTTCTTTTGGATAAAAACACATTCTACTACTTTGTTTATATAATCTCATTAAAACCCTTACAAAAATAAGACAAAATGTTGTGTTTGTATTTCTGGTATGCTGCCAAATGCACAGGTCAGGGCAACTATGTATTCACAAAGAAACACAGCTCAGCTCAAATTGAATAGGCATAAGAAAAAGTAAGTACCAGAATGAACAGCATGAAAGTCACAGCACTGTCACACAGGCTGTTGTGGTTAGATAACTATTAACTTATGCCCTTAATAATATATACAGTGTCATGTCTAGTTTTGGTCGGGCAGTTCTTGAGTTTCAGGAACCTGCAAAGTGATAAGGTTGCGAAGGAGGAAGTACACTGCAGTCCAAGCACATATGTTTACACATTTTAAACAAGAACAAGAGCCTGGACACATTTGTATTTTGCACAGTGTTGCTCGTTAAGTTTGGTAATTCAACATTACTATTTACATTATTTACATTAGAACCAAAAAGAAGGAGGAAGTACACTGCAGTCCAACCACATATGCTTAAGCCACATTTAAAACAAGAACAAGAGCCTGGATACATTTGTATTTTACACAGTGTTGCTAGTTAAGTTTGGTAATTCAATTACTATTTACATTAGAATTTACATTATTTACATTAGAACCAAAACAAACTGGGGAAATTAAGAAAAAAAGTGATATTTTAACCTAGCCAAAGGATACAAAAAGTGCGACTAATAGTGCAGAAAATATGGTAGTTATAAATTAATATTGCACAGGAACAGGACACATTGCAATTCCCACCTTCTTCGGGAGACAAAATGTAAATATGTAACGGACGTCGTGTGGCCTTGGCTGGCTTTCTTTCCTGCGTTGTTAGAAATGATGACCCACTTCTACAGTGCACTGAAGGGACTCAAGTATTGAGTCATTCCTGGTACCATGAGTAACAAAGTTGGTGGACTGATTAATCTTTCATCACTGTTCAGCCTCAGTAACTACTTGAATAATACAGAGGGAGAACAACCTCTGATGAACTCCACAAAGACCCAGACAAAATGACTAGAGAGAACAACCTCTGATGGACTCCACAAAGACCCAGACAAAATGACTGTTGAGTGAAATTAGGAGCCTCACGGTGTCAAGGACTTTTTTCCTACTGTACTGTAAAGGAAACAGACAACAGAAAGATGTCTGTATTGAACAATCTTGGAACAAGGCAATACTACTCAAATAGTGGGCCTGGCCGTGGTAAGGTACCAGGGGGCTTGAGGGGCTTCCAATGGAATATGGAACACATATTGACATAAGTGTACCACTGCTGTAATGCTTGGATGATAACAAACCTCCAGTCACTAGGTGGCAGCAACTCATACAGTGGGTACAGATACAAATATACATGTTATCAGATTCTCAATAGCACAAGGGGCGTAAAAACATTTCTGTCCACAAGCACGTAACGGGCGTAACGGGGGCCTGCCCTACACTTTGAGAAGTACTGAGCTACAGGAAGTCACACTTGATGTGACTATAATACATTGTCTGAGTCACTGTCAACAAACACATGGCAGGGCTTTAGGTTTTTTATAGCACCGTAAGACCACAGAATGGGAGGAAACACTGAATGGTGTGGTTTTTTGTTTTCACCATCACTACAGTGCTATGTTAAGGCCTGGCTACTACAATTGGATTTAAGAAGTCTAAATAATCTATTAGCATGCTCCTCCAAATAATATCACAAAATCTTATTTACACTTGTTAAATCCCAAATTGCTCTCATGCATTCTTTCAACACTACCATGTCAAATGGAAGGCAGATAAGAACCCAACATTTATCTATTTAATTTAATTATGTTTAGAACGTCTTCTAACTAAAGTGCAAAACCTTATTTATTGCTGCAAAAAAAAAAATTGATATATGATAACTGCTAAGATATATGACGGCAGAGCGATTCATGAAGAGAAAAGTTGAAAACAATATGAATGGACTTTATTTACAAATGTGGGTAAGACCACAAATATTTTCAATTTTATAAAAACAAATTACTCATAAAAAACAAAAAAATGTACTTGTACTTGAGAAACTTGAAAGAACAGTTCCTGTTTTTTTGGTTGTGTGATACTTTTGTTGAACAGTCTCTATTAAAAATGATTACATCTCCAATTATTTAATGGATAATGTGTACACTACCTTATACTCTTATTTGTAATTGTAACAACTTATCTCTGTGTGCTTATTAATTAAAGATTTCTTGTACACTGTATCAATTTTCTGTGACTGAGTGGAGACCAATTCAAGCTATGCTATGTAAGCTAATGTGACATAAGTGTGCTTAGCTAATGCGCTTGTCATTAAAAAGACCTGCCAATAATAATTAACTAACTATAAGTTAATAAAGAATGTTAAATGAAAATGTTTTGTAACAATGGTGTTAGAATGGCATTTGTTTATAGGTAAATGTTCCTGAGGGAAAAAAGTCCCCAGTTAAAAGTGGTTCGCTCAGCAGGTGGGTGAGAAGCGCCTTTAAAAAAAAAGTATGCTGTACTACAACTCCCAATATTCCCTGCGTCACTGATTGTTTGCTCTCTTCAGCTGCTGTCTCGCGCAGTCGCCACGTTGGAATTCTGTTTTCGGACATCCTCACTTTTCCCCACGGTAAACGAGGAAGTACAGGTGAGTTTCTTCGATGTGAAAAACAACAGTTACGAACGGCCGATATGTGTAGTTAGTGCTATCGCTAACAAGGAGCTATAAGTGTCTATATTTGTGTCTCCATGGTAACGGTTACTCTTATTGACTAGAAAAAAGTCTACAGCAGTCTACTATATATTCGGTATACATACATGTATAAATATGTATAGGTGTATATATATATATATGTATATATATATTTATATGTATACACATATATAAAACGAAGAAATCTTTTCAGGGGAAAAAACTTTGAATTAGTGAGGATTAAATTGCGTTAATATAATTATATATTTTGTTTTAATAAAATTAAAAATGTTACAACTTTTGTGGATCCAAAAGTATTGTGTATCCCATAATGTTGTATAGTAGAGTATAGTGCTGTCCATATTGATTAAATAATTGGCTGACCATGAGGATTTCATTATCAAACCAATATTGTAAGAAAATGTATTTTATTTTATATAATATATATATTAATATATATATATTATTCCAAATTTGTCAACATTTAAATTACATCAGAGAGGCAGGAGGCAAATCAAACGACCAAACAAAGAGGATGTACAATGAGGAATTAAATTCCATTGAGATGTGGGGTATCAGAAGTATCTCTTCAAGTTTATGTTAAAGGTTTATTTTAGTGTGGAAAAGTATTCAAACATCTAATTGTTTCTATTGTTTACACGTTTCTCTCTCGTTTTCCAGATTGATTTAAGGGTTATGAACAACTACCAGGTAATCAGTCAGATTGGAGAAGGAGCGTTTGGGAAAGTCTTTCTGGTCAGGGAGATGGGAGGAGACAGACAGAGCGTGATCAAACAGATCGACCTAAGAATGGTGAGAAAGATGAACTTCGACCCCCTTTTTCATTGAGTTTTTGTATTATAATTGTATTCATTCATAATTGAGAATTGTAATTGTATTATCAAAGGTGTCCAGTAGGGGGTTCTATGTGTTAATATGGCTATTCTGGTTAGGACTTAAGACGTGTTTGATTTAAAGAGTCACAAGACATTGCCTTGTCATATATAACTGGAAAACAGTTATAAACTGTCCTAAGTTTACATGTTAACAATAACAACCCAACAATAATCAGTATTAACTGATAACAGTTATATTTTTTATACACAAATATATTTTTATATCCTTAGTATATGTTCACATGTATGTATTTTTTTTACATGTATACATGTACATATGCATATATGTATATACTTTCTATCTATCTATCTAATCGATCTATCTATCCATCTATCTATCTATCTGTCTATCTCTCTATCTATCTATCTGTCTCTCTATCTATCTATCTATCTATCTATCTATCTGTCTGTCTGTCTATCTATCAATTCCTATAGGTGTGGGTATGAAAGGAGCAGCCATAAAACCATAACAATGTCTTATTTTTTTGCTTAGTTGTCAATGAAGGAGAAAGAAGCATCTAAAACAGAGGTACTGCTGCTGTCAAAGATGAATCACCCAAATATTGTGTCCTTTATCACATCATTTAAAGGTATGTCAAATTTAGGACAATTAACACAGAGATCACATTATCACCCATAATGCTGTGTGTGTGTGTGTGTGTGTGTGTGTGTGTGTTCAGAGGGCAGCACTCTGTTTATAGTGATGGAGTTCTGCGATGGAGGAGATCTGATGAGGAGGATCAGCATGCAAAGAGGACTTCCTTTTTCTGAAGAACAGGTATACACACACACACTAGGGGTCTAACGGTACACACAAGTCATGGTTCGGTACGTACCTAGGTGGGGGGGTCACGGTTCGGTACGTTTTCGGTACGAGTGACAGATATATCGGGGTGATGCCGTCTTTGTTATATTGCACCTTTTCTTCTTCTTCTTCTTCTCCTTCTTATTGTTTTGTAGTCTAATGATGGTTGCTGGTAGCATTTAGGCTCATTAACGCGTATTGAAATGAGAACTCGACTTTTTTTTTTTTAATAGGCTACTAACTCAGATACATAGACATGGACATAAACAAGAATTAACAGTGTATTTCTTCACAGATTCTGAGCTGGTTTGTTCAAATCTGTCTGGGCCTCAAACACATTCATGACAGGAAGGTTCTCCACAGAGACATTAAAGCTCAGGTAACACTGTAACAGTAAAAAAAACTGTAAGCACCTCCTGCAGCTAGTACCAGCAAATCGAATGTGATCCTCAAAGAAACCCCCCCCCAAAAAACGTGTCAATAAACTTAGCCTATTACATCTGCTTGATCTTGATCTAAGATCATGTTCTTATATCACTGTGAACTGCAGTTTTAACAGTGGTCTACAGATCTTCTGCTGTAGATCATGGAAATCCTTTCATGAGAATTTGAGCCTAAATCAGTCATTCTGCAGACGTAGGTTTGGAGGAGTTGTACTAGTATCTACTCGTAAGCTGTATTTTCTCATCGGAAATGTCAGTGAGGTTAAGATATCTAATTTATCTTAGATCTAATGATGCTGTTGGTTACCGTAAATTCTGGACTAAAAGCCCGCCCACTAAATTTAAAAAGAAAAAAAAAAATTGTAAATATATAGGTCGCACTTTTCTATAAGCCGCAGGTGTCCATTTTTTTTTTCACTTTTAATTAAATAAATGTTTTTTTCTGAGATGGTTACACGTTAGCTCATTCCCGGAGCCCCGACCGTAGTTGAAATGCACAGGGGAGACTTAGTGATTTGCTCCAGAGCCGAAGCTAACATTAGCTCCGGAGCTAACTCCGTTCACTTTGTGCTTGTCCACAGCAGAGGTAAACAGAAACAGGGAAGTTGGGGTCTTTATTATCATTTATCATTTATTCTCGTAAATCCATAAATTAGCTGCATAATTTTTTTAAGCATGTGAAAACAGTAGCGACTTATAGTCCAGGAATTACGATACATATATTCAGTAGGGATGGCTCAATACAATAGAGTAGAGTAGAGAGTAGAGTAGGGCTTTATTCATCCCCCTTGGGGGAAACATACTAGTACAGTAGCCAGTGGCAGTGCAGAAAAAGAGAGAAGAGGAGTTAACACAATAAATAGAGTAAAAAGAACTAAAAAGCAAAAAGCACTCTAAAATTAAAGTAAAACTTTAGAAAAATATACATAATGAACAAGAAAATATATTCTTTGGTATTGGTATCTGTATTGGTATCTGTCCGATATTGGTCGACTCTTTGGTATTGGTATCTGTCCGATATTGGTCGAAAGTTTAGGATCAAACCCTAGCTCAAATATTCTATCGCCTTAGCAACAGCAGCCTGCAGCGTGATGGGGAAGAAAAGAAGTTATCAGATTGATATTGGTATCTACAGATACTCCAAGTTGCAGTATCGGTACTGGACATGAAAAAGTGGTATATTGAGCCATCTCTAATTTTTAGGTCACTAAGAAAATGGAATCCATTCTTTCCTTTAATAGTTTGTTTTAATAGTCTGTACAAAGAATTGTATTTTTTTCCAGAAGAATTTCAACTTCAGACACACAAACACGCTCACTGTTGCTCTTTGTTGTCCAGAACATCTTTCTCACCAGCGGCGGGATGACAGCCAAACTAGGTGACTTTGGCATCGCAAGAATGTTGAAGAAGTGAGTGTTACGTAGACACAGTAACACCGTGACAGCATTCGGGAAAACATCAAGATTGTGTTAAGATATGTTCATGCTTGTGTGTGTGTGTACAGCACCATGGAGATGGCTCGTACTTTTGTTGGAACACCGTACTACCTCTCACCTGAGATCTGTGAGAATCAACCATATAACAATAAAACGTACGTATGCGTGAGAGCTTTTCTGTTCTCACTTGATTTCATGTGACCTTCGGTCACTGTCAAAACAACACGTCATCTTAGACCTGAAATGAAAAGTGCTTTCTAGGTGAAATTATAAACTGTAGACTTGTTTGTTTTTAATTCCTAGAAAATGATGCTCGTGTGCCGCGTTTGAAAAAGTGAGAAGTGAGACTAAAAAAGTGTCTCACTTCTCAACAAGTGCAAACACACAGGCTCAGGGCACATTCACTTCCTCTTCCTCAGATTTAGAGTCACATTAGCTGCAAAGTCAGGTTCACTTAAACCTTAACTTAAAAGAAGTTTAAATGTAAATGTATGTGCGTATTTGCACAGACCGATTTATTTCATATAAATACTTAGTGTTTAGCTTTGAAACATTTAATTTTATTTCTTTATTTTTTTTTTGTTGTGTTTCACAACATTGCACATACACCCCCTTTGTGGTTTTTCTTTTATGCATGTGTGTATTCGTGTCTGCAGGGATATCTGGTCTCTGGGCTGTGTCTTGTACGAGCTCTGCACATTGAGGCATCCAGTAAGTATTCTCTCTCCGATTATACTTTTGGTCCTCATTCAACGCCTAATCCCTCAACTCAGCCTAAGCTGGTGCTTCTCAAATAGTGGGGCTTGCCCTCCTGGGACGGGGGGGGGGGGGGGGGGGGCGGAGGGGTCACGTGCTGCGCATTTATTTTTTTAGCATGTCATTATTCATGCTTAAAATATACAAGCTAAAATATATAAAATATAATATATAATAAATATAATATATAAATATCTAAAATATACAAGCATCTAGTGACAAGGTCACTAGATGGCAGCAGAGCAGCTCATTTTTATTAATCTATTTTGATAATCGGGATTGTATGCAGAATGCTGGTGCCACCAACTCATAGTGGTTTGTACAGATAAATATAAAATATAAAACATAACCAGGCACTCAATAGTTTTTTATTTTGAGAGGGAGGGTAAAAAAAACGTATTTTCAGAAAATAATTAAGTAAACACTGGCCTAATCTAAAAGGTCTAAAGCAGTAAAAATCACATTAGCTCAAGTTGTTGTGGGAATGTAGGTTTTAAAAAAAAAAGGGTGCTGGATCGGTGGCAAAGAAAGCGGACTCGGTTCCAGAAGGTTTCAGGTTCGAGTCCACCAGCTGCCACTGAGGTGCGCTGAGCATGGCACCGTCCCTCGCAGCTTAAGCTGCCCCCTGCTCACTTTGGTGATCACATTTCATTGTGTGCAGTGGTGTGCTGTGTCACAATGACAAATAATTCACTTTCACTTTAGTTCAGATTTGCGTTTGCGTTTACCTCAGTGACCCAAACTGACCTCAGGAGGCAGCAGTGGACAAGCAAATTCTGTCTTCTTTTCAGTTCAAATATCTCATTTGATCTTTGTACCTCAGTGTGTTGAATCCATAACAAAACACTGCAGTAACAACCAGAGTGGCTTACAGCCAGATGTGGGACCAAGTCATTGCTTTGCAAGTCACAAGCAAGTCTCAAGTCTTTGCACTTAAGTCTCAAGTCAAAATAGGCAAAGTCCGAGTCCAATCCAAGTCAAGACTGAAAAGTGTCAAGTCAAGTCCCAAGTCCTGCCGTTTCTGTTTTTGAGTCCTTTCGAGTCCTTCCACTCACTGCCACTCGTTTTTTGTTGACCATATCGTAGTTTTTAAATCCGAACAACACGATCTTTGCTATCGTTTTCTCTAACCTGCGCATTGTTCGACAGCTCTTTCTCATTGGTTGTCCCGCAATTTGATTGGCTCGATATTATCGCGTCAAAACAACGTGGGTCTAATTTGATTGGATGTTGTGCCGACAGCACATACACACACAGGTACGCACACACGTACACAATGATTAGATACAGAGCGCTCCTCAATAACTTACTTTATAATCTTTGGGTTTCGGAGAAAGTATCGAGTCTTGTCGAGTCAAAGGGCTCGAGTCCAAGTGAAGTCACGAGTCATTGATGTTAAAGTCCAAGTCGAGTTCCAAGTCTCTTTACATTTTGTCAAGTCGAGTCTAAAGTCATCAAATTGATGACTCGAGTCTGACTCGAGTCCAAGTCATGAGACTCGAGTCCACGCCTCTGCTTACAGCTAACGTATATCCGTGTTTGTATGTTCCCACTGCAGTTTGAAGGAAGCAGTCTGCGGCAGCTTGTCAGTAAGATCTGCGGCGGGCGCTTCAACCCAGTACCAGGATGCTACTCATACGATCTCTGCCTTCTTGTGACTCAACTTATAAAGGTTAGTGTAGCTGGTTATGATGTCACTCTGTGAGATTAAGAATGAGCCATCAAGACATCACGCATTCTGTCTCCGTAAAGGTGAATCCCTGTGATCGCCCATCCGTCAGCTGTATCCTCAAACGTCCTTTTCTGGAGAAACTCATACAGAAACACTTGGATCCAGAGGTGAGTAAATAAACAGTCAGTATTTTGTGTCTTTAGGTTGACTTCAACATGCAGGTCCTCTACAACACAAAAGATCTATCTATCTATTAATGGTTATATACATTTTATAGACAGAACAAGGGGAACCACATACTTAATGGCACCTCCTGTGGCAGCCTGTGTTGGTTGCAAAAACTCACACTGTGGATTTCCAAATTGTGGGACAAGGGGAGTGATATATCTCTATTTTAAACAGATTGTTGGGCTCTGCCTAAATCATTGAACTCAACCTTTTAAAACATTTTTAAAAAGGTTTAACCCTTTGATGCATGACCCATGATATACTGAGTTAAAAAAATGTTACTAAGTGTTTTTACGTGTTTTTAGACATACAAATAAGAACTGATTTGGTTCTGTTTTTATACACCAAATTTTCTTTTTGAATGTTGACACAATTATTCTGCAGTTGCAAAGGCTGACCACTGTATGGCAGTGTTGGGTGATTCTCAGGCATCCACTGTAGAGGCTTATATGCAACACTGCCATCAAAACCTATTCTTATCATAGAAAATGACATTTTCATAGCTGTCCACTGTAGTGGCCGTCATGCATGAAAGGGTTAAATTCAGAAATAAGTTGCAGTGTTGTTCCTGTTACATTATTTATCCTAAGAATACTTTATACATGAGATTCATCTTATGCATACTGCATAAGATGAATTTCAATATTTGATCTGTCTGTGTGTCTGTAATTATTACGTGCAGGTGATACAGCAGGAGTTCAGTAACGCAACGCCACAGTGCAACAAGATGACAGCTGGGGGCGCTGCAAGTTAGTTATATACTGTATACTTTTTAGGATCCTTTGAGGTAAATCATGCTCATTCATTTTGCGAAAAAAAAAAAAAGAGTTCATATACCAGGTTTTTCCTAAAAAGTCAACAATTATGGATGTGTAGTGGTCAGTTTCTGGTATCTTAGAAACGACTTCAAACCTTAAGGGAATTTTCCAAACATGGCTACTGTATAAAGAGCACATTAGCTAACATCTCTGTATCCTCTGCTAATGTAAAAATAACGAGATGTGCGTGTGTGTGATACAGAGAAAATCCAGACTCCCAAAAGAGCGGAACGACACGGAGCGGCTGTGAAACATCAAAACCTCAACCCAAAGTGGAGGATTGGAAATCCTGCTCACCACAGGGTAATGACACAATAGAACACACTTTGAGTATTTTACATGTACATTTCCATAATCTCTTAAAGGTCTTAAGCAGTAGCATTTTAATGTATATAAAAATAAAAATCAAACATTTAAAACAAACAAGCAAACAAACACCTTCTTGTATAACAATACTATCACATTAAGATATACTGCATGTTGGGAATTTCTGACTGATCTCCCGACAGACAGGCAATTTCGGTGACAGTGGTACTGTAATGCCTACCGTAATTTCTGGACTATTGAGCGCACCTTAAATAAAAGCCGAACTCACTAAATTTAACCCTTTCATGCATGACGGCCACCACAGTGGACAGCTATGAAAATGTCATTTTCTATGATAAGAATAGGTTTTGATGGCAGTGTTGCATATAAGCCTCTACAGTGGACGCCTGAGAATC